ATTCTGCCTTCATTTGTACATTCGTAGCGACGTTTGAATGCGATTTGGCCTATACAATGACTTGCGGGGCCAGCCGATGTACAAGTCAGTGTTTTTATCCTCCCAGACAAGTCTGGTACCAATTAACCGACCCCGGAGGGATGGAAGGCTTGGTTGGCCCGGGCGACACGACCCAGGATTTGATCCCCGGACCGCTCGCGTGGTAAGCGTGCCACTTGCCACTACACCACTTCCGCCCTTGTATGGGAACTACTAAACGAAATTATTGTTCAAGGTGAGAATTATGCTACTGAAATCTTCTATTTGACGCCTGCGCTGGACCATTCTCACATTCTCGTTCCTCATGGCTTTCCTCAACGCCAATGTTGCAAGATGGCAATGGTTGGATACCCTCATAATTTCTCAAAAGGCCATTGTTCCTTTTCCGTCACTTTTCCGGATCTTCTTCAAAGGGAAGACAAGAAAATCCAAATCTTCAGTTCGCCCTCATGGACCGATAACAAATTCGACGACCTTGACAACGAATAGAACTTCCTGTGGAGCCTCTTCAGGTAATTTTTTGGAAGCCCAGCCAAGAACTAACGCCGACGCTCTGATTGGACCCTTCAATCAGTTATTTTTCACACTTTTTTATTTACATTTCACCTTTACTTTTATCCATTAATCTTTTTACACAGGCGGAAAGGTATAGCGTCAGCGAATAGCGTATACCTGAGAACCCAACAATTACAACGGTGGTGGTTGTGGACACAACATTCTCTCTCTCCAGGGACTCGAACCCAGAGTATGAAATTTTTGAACGATTGCTGAGCAAATCAACGAGAAAAAGCCTTAAGTCTCGCGCCCATATTTTCGGCCATGTCACCAGCAGAACATTTACAACGGTGGTGGTGAAGGCCGATTGTTAATTGTCATTTGCAACAGTTCTGTCAATATAATGATGACGAAGGTCCGTAAGAATTTTCTTGGAAATAACCTTTGCAAAGTTATTGCTGCGTCTTATTATAGACATAACAAAATCCGACTAAGCTAGGGAAAAAATTCTTCAAGGGTATAAAAGGGTTCGAAAAATCATCTTGCAGTCGGCTTTCAGCATTTTCTCCCACGCTGTTCATTTCTTCTCCATTAAACTTACAACATCAGTGTTAAGAACAGTGGTAGCGCAAACTTCTCGCGACGTCTTTTGGCCTATGTCCCATAGAATCGTTTTGAATAATGATGCAGAATACAACAAGCATGGCTCAAAAAAGGAGTGCCCCCACAACAGAGCTCAACTTCAGCTGGGTTCCTTCACTTCACAGAAAAGTAAAACGGAGAACTCAGAACCGCTATAAACACTAGCTGAAGCAAAAAGCCTTTAGTCATTCTTCCTCATTTCTACTTTGGGTCAGGAACTTGTTTGCTGATGGAATGAGTCTGAGTTTCTCATCAGAAACGAGGATGGAAATCCAGCACTGTCTCAGGTGATGCACTTCAGAGAAAATGTTTGGAATCCCGGTTTTGCTAGCGCTTCTATGTGCTTCTTGGGCGCATTACGGTGTGCCAGCAAGACAACCTGTTGGAGGCTACGGAGCTGCTCCACTGCCACCTTTTTACCAGCCAATTTATGCAAAGCCCGTTGTGCTCCCTGAACTGCCAGCACAATATCAAATTGTAAGTTGTATTCTATAGCATTAGAGAAACTATCGCTAGGTCGAAGAAATCGAAAAATGCACTCTAAATACCATAGCAATGTTCAGCTCTGGCCATTCCCCCGCCGCGATCGCCCATGGAGAGAAAGTAGCAGCAGCGGTAGGTGGCTTAGCCAATATCTGGTCGGTAGACGTAGTGATCTTCTACCACACTTTGTTAGGAAAAGACTGTGAGGATTGTCGTCCTTTGAGAAACCTATGCAGTCCTTTCGACAACAATTGCATTATGCCAAAAATCAAGTAAGTTTGAAGCTCTGTACTTCCAGAAGGCAACACTAACTGTCAATCAATTCCAGGTACTTCAATCGAAGAGGATGCGAAGAAGCCATTGTGGATTGCGGTGACAAGGAAATCCTCGCTCTTGATGACATCTGATTACAGAATCCTCAGCTATGGTGTAGCTATTGAGAAGATCATCAGATGCGGTAGAGGTGGAAGGTGAGCGTGCTTTTTTACTAGCTGTAAAATCTTAGCTACTGTCAATTTTACAGATGGATCTCGCCGGACATCTACGGCGATGCGACCTCATTTGGCTCACTTCGCTGTATGAAGATGTCACAAATGAGGAATGTCACAACTGCATGAGCAGGGAATAAATCTTGATTTCCAACATCCTTATGCTGAGAACCTTCGAAATTTTCGTCATTAAAGAGTCGCTTAACCAAGGACAAACTGCTTTAGCAGGGCACCTCAAACGCGGTCCTCAAGCAGCTATTCACCGTCCGTCCCCCGTGAATGAGTGGCTCTGCCTTGATTTTAGCAGTTGAAGGTCCGTGGTAAGGCACGGTTTCCTTGTGAAGAATTACTTAGCCAGTACTTGCTGATACCCCTCTTCCTTGTTGGCTTGCTCCGCAGAGTTGAACGACACCAGCAGCACCTATTCGCGCTCCCTATAAATCTGACCTGTCATGCATGATTGGTCCCCAGCATGGGGCCAAAAATTTACAGGAGGAAATTTTTTTGCAGAAAAATGATATACATTTCAAAGAGGCTTTGACGGAGACATTTTGAACTGTGGGTATGAGCTTCCGATCACTTCAAAAGCAAGGGGCACATTTCTGTAAGCCAACCTTGGAACGAGTCAGTCAGATAAATGATGACTTGATCTCAGACAAATTCGAGATGACAAAATTGTTAGAGAATTTGAAATAGAGATGCAAGAAGAAAAGAAGACTCGTTAGAAGTTCTAATCACTGGCTTAAGAACGATTTGAATACATGGTTTTTGGAAAAGTTCAGTGTAGTGAAAAATGATCGTTTTCAAGTTATTCGTGCTGACCGAATAGCGCAAGGAAACCCGGTGAAGGCGCCGCCTGCCTAAAAAAATGCGCTATGTAATAGTCACACCCATTCAATTATTGCCAACTCTAATATGTATAAATGAGCAGAGGCTCATCAGCCTCGCTTTGATGATCTGCTGTGGCAGTTCCAAAAACTTGTTTCAATTGCTCAAATTGCTCTACAAGTCAATTGTAACAGGTCTAGAATTCACAAAAATTCCGGTGAACCTTCAAAATCGAACAGCGACTACGAACTAGCTTTGGCCAGCTAAGCCCCAGAAAAGGCGCCGGGATATCTAATGGTTAGAAAATTCGGCCAGCATCTTCAGTGGACTCTTGGGATCTTGGACTGCTCATGATTTGGAACCGACCTCCCACTCTGGACCATGGAATTTAGCCCAACATTTTTAGCCCAGTTTGACCTGGCCTAGCATTGAGATCGTTGTAGACAAACTTCTTTACGACAACTTCCGTTTCAAATCCTTATTTACGTACATAAGTTTACCAGCCTCTGGTCCTCTGAAATCATTGGAGTCAAGTCCCAGTTCACTGCACTCCAAGGGTTACTATTTATGCCGAGAAAATAAGCTTTGGGGAGGAATTTTGCACGAAAGCAGCCCAGCAAACAACAGCGATGTGTACTTGAAAATTATTTTCATAAGCAGTTCAAAAATCATAATCTTTCTCCATCAGAAACTGTTGTCAAGAGATTTTCGGCGAGTGATTCTATAAGAAGAGCTGCGCCGCCGTTCATGAAACGACAACTTCAGGAAATCAAGTATGATTTGTCATCAGAAAGTCATTTCCCATACAATACGTCGTCATATTATCGCGCTTAGTCATTTTCGGTCAACATTCGTCATTTCAGAAAAGCAGTTTTGTAGAGAGCACAGAAAATCCACGTAAATCATAGAAGTTTTTCGCAGCGTGTTCTGCAACATAAGAGTGCAAGAACGTGGCGGAAATGAAATTGGTTCCACTTCCGCGCCAAATCCTTTGAATGATAATCGAATTTCGAAATTAAATTACGCTACTTCATTTGTATTAACTTTTTTTCAGTAATTACTGCCGATTCAAGAAGGATGTAATTCACCTAGGTACCTAGCGTAAAGGATAAAAGAGAGTAAAGCATCGCGTTGATCAATCCTGCTTTGGGATGCGGCACGCATTCTACTTCCATTCATATTCGTAGTGGCATTTGAATGCGATGTGGCCTATACAATGACTTGCGGGGGCCAGCCGATGTACAAGTCAGTGTTTTTATCCTCCCAGACAAGTCTGGTACCAATTAACCGACCCCGGAGGGATGGAAGGCTTGGTAGCCTGGACGATGTACGATCCAAGATATGGTAAAATACCAATGATCCTTTCAGGGCAAGTGCGCTTTTTCAAAACGGTTTTGTGCATATTGTAGGGACGCATGTAGGAACGCAAAACCATGTTTCATTTTCGCTGAACGGTTATAGCAGTACCAAAAAAGAAGCATAAGGTACTGTTAAGGGTTCGATCCCCCGTGGCGACTAAATTTTGCATTTGGGTTTGGTGCCAAATCGCGCTAAATATCAAAATCAGATGTCAAATTCATCGTCAGGACCAAAAAGTGGCCGCCAACCTTGATTGCAAAATTTAGTCGCCGCGGGGATTGAACCATCAAGAGTATTATTCACCACTTTTTTGGTACTACTAAAACCGTTCAGCGAAAACGAAACATGGTTTTGTGGTCCATACATGCGTCCCTACAACATGTACTAAACCGTTCCCAAAAAGCGCACCTTGCCCTGAAAGACCTCCCTTGTTAGAGAATACCACTATCTTGCAGCTTTAAAAAATATATGAAAAATAATGAGATTTCTGTAGATATTGCTTAAATACACAAAGACGTTCTGAACTCGCTCAGAATCTGATTGCAAATATCAATATTTTGGTGCCTAGAACAGAACTCCTTTCGCTACTTCATAAAATTAGTTAGCAATATTCAAGTAGACTAAACCATCTCCGTCTGCATCTGTTTGTTCTAACCCTGGCATTGGAATAATTTTGGCGAGGGATTTCTTAGGAGACTTTGAACGGTCTTATTTTGCAGTTACAGAGGTTTTGTGTAGTTGTATCTGAGGAGGCTGTCTTACTCTCCGAGGAAGACTGAGAAAAAAATTTAGCCGAGAAAAAAGTTAGATGATAGACGGCGAAGTATTCAGTTTGATCAATTCCTTTCTAAGTTGCGCCACGCCCTCTGTTTTCACGCTAGAGTGTGGTGGAGTTGCGAAAGAGATTGACATACACAATGCGGGGGTTCTCTGATGTGTAGTTAAGAGTACATAGCCTCTCAAACAAGTTTGGAGCAGAAATTTTGGGAGATATTTACCGTTTCAGAGTGACTATATACCCCCTCCCCCGCTCGACCCCGCTCGACGGCATTTTTGGAGGAAAAAGTGGGCGGGGTTTTGATGGAAGATGGAGATGGTGGAGGTAGGGAAAAGGGGGTCGTATCAAATCCACCTTGGGGGAGGGGGGTCGTAAAAATTTTTCGAAAAGTAACAACGATAGGACCGACCCTGCCTGAGAGGCCTGAGCAAGGTACGAAACTAGTCCTACTAACTAGTAACAACTCCCGAACTGCGCGTGGTAATCTGCGTCACGTGCCACTGCCCGAACTCCGCCCTAGAAAAGTGATCAGGTAAAGTAGATGTTGGAAAAAAACGTATTTCAGTTTTGCTATGTATTGTTTCAGTGGCAGACAGAGGTAAGCTTGTGCTAGGCTACTTTCAGACTTTTGTGCCAAACGCGCGATTCGCCAGCCGCGGGTATTGAGCGGAGGGCAGGTGCCGCCACGTGAGTTCACCCCATTTTCGCCCCATGCTGCGCCGCCATTATTAACACGTTACGCCCAACGCGCGTTTCAGCTTTTGCTCCGCTGACCACGGCGATTTTGCACGCCGCCTCCATCAATCAGTGAATTTTGAGCTTTAAATACCCAAAACTCGGATGCAACAAATGTTTAGAATGATATTCGATGTGTCAAACTTATCAGAAGGGACAACTGTAAAAAATCGATCGAATTGACGTTTTCTGGCGATGAAAGGCAAGTTTCAGTTGCTTTTGCTGCAGTGAACCTCAGAATTATTTTTGACGCGGTTGCTCCACTAAAAACATATGTCTTGCTATATGTGTGGGTCTGTACTTACTTCTACTGCTCTTTTTATGACCAAGATTATCAGAATATAAAGGAA